TTCATTTATTTTTGTACCTCTTATACTCTGTTGTTGTTCTTGTTACCTATCATTGAGCCTGCCTCTGATTCTTGGTGCACCACTGCACAAATGGATGAGACCATTGTGATCTATAGGGGTTTCCCTGGTTAATATTTGGAAGTAGATCACCAGGCCCATCTTCTTAGTCTGGAAGCTCAGCTGAAACCTGTTCAGCAACACAGCAACACGCAACCCTGCAGTGACAATGAGTGCTGGCTGTGCTTGAGGTGCACTGGCCAGGAAATGAACCAGGGTCACCACACAGAAGTCGAGGATTCTATCACTGAGCACCATTGCCCTTTATGTGCCCTAGCCATGTGTATGTGCAGTGTTCCTTAGCATTCTGTGTCCATTATCTAAATGGCACCTACAAATTTTCTCAAAATTTCATTTCTCGGAAAAGTTCAGTTTTCTATTCCATTGATATCTGTTTATGAAATCCCACCAACTCCCCACTTTGTTCAAAAATAATAATAAAACCAGCAGCATTTACACTAGACACCATTTCCACAACTCCCTTACTTGTTTTTTGAATCCACAAAAGATAAATACTTTCCTTTGGTCTTATAAATGTAATGTCTTTGGTGTGTTTATTGGTATGACCCTAAGAACTCAATCTACATCATTACTATCCATCAAGTTAAAATTCTGCTTTAAAATTCTAATTTATTTAAAGAACAGGAACTTCATCCATTTAGCTTCCTTTACAAAGTGCTTAGCAAGTCAAGAAAATGAGTAAATTAAAATGTTCCTTGTGGTAATGACTATGGCACGAAACTCTTGTCTTTTTTACTTTTTTTAAAAAAATATTTAGTCCATTAAGAGTAGGCTGAGTTGGTAAAGTGACATTTACCTTCCTGACCACACAGTACATTCAACTAGTCCTCAGGTTATGAGTAAAATCTGTTCCCTTATCTTTAAGAATTTGTAGGTAAGTTGGAACAGGTGCATGTGGTTCTCATTTAGCCTACTTTTTAGTGCAAAAAAGGATCTCTGGTGGTATAGTAAGTAATCTGGCTTCTAACCAAAAGGTCAGTGGTTTGAACCCACCACTCACTCTGCAGAAGACCAATGAGGCAGTCTGCTTCCATAAAGATTTACAGCCTTGGAAACCCAATAGGTGTCACTATAAGTTGGAATCAATTTGATGGCAATGAGTTTGGCTTTGTTTTGGTTTTAGTGCAAGAAAGGTTTGGAAGCCATTTAACGATTTAAAAGCTGCACATGCAGCAAGTGAAGGTGACTATGATGAGGAGTCTGTGCTGGGTAGGAGTTGGTTCATTCCTTTCCAGGTGAAGGCAAATTTGTTGTTGTTGTTATGTGCCATTGACTCATCTCCGACTCATAGTGACCTTATGTACAACAGAACAAAACACTGTCCAGTCTTGTGCTAACCTCATGATCTCTACTATACCTGAGCCCATTGCTGCAGCCACTGTGTCAATGCATCTTGTTGAGGGCCTTCCCCTCTTTTGTTGACCCTCCATTTTACCAAGCACGACTTCCTTCTCCAGAGAATGGTCCCTTCTGACAACATGACCAAAGTAGGTGAGGTGAAGTCTGGCCATTGTCACTTCCAAGTAGCATTCTTGCTGCACTTATTCCAGGAAAAATTTGTTAGTTCTTTTAGCAGTCCACAGTACTTTCAGCATTCTCTGCCAACACCACAACTCAAAAGTATCAACTCTTCTTCAGTCTTCCTTATTAATTGTCCAGCTCTCACATGCATATGAAGTGATTGAAAATACCATGGCTTGGGTTAGGCACATCTTAGTCTTCAAGGAGATATCTTTGTTATTCAGCACTTTAAAGAGGCCTTTTGTAGCAGATTTGCCCAATGCAATACATCTTTTGATGTCTTGACTGCTGCTTCCATTGGCGTGGATTGTAGAACCAAGCAATATGAAGTCTTTGACAACTTTAATCTTTTCTCCATTTATCATGATGCTGCTCATTGGTCCAGTTGTGAGGATTGTTGTTTTCTTTATAATGAGGTGTAATCCATACTGCAGACTGTAGTCTTTAATCTTCATCAGTAAGTGCTTCAAGCCATCCTTACTTTTAGCAAGCAAAACTGTGTCACCTGCATATCTCAGGTTGTTAATGAGCCTTCCTCCAGTCCTGATGCCACATTCTTCTTCATATAATCCAGCTTCTCAGATTATTTGCTCAGCATACAGAGAAAGTATGGCGAAAGGACACAACCCTGACACACTCCCTTTCTGATTTTAAACCATGCAATATCCCCTTGCTCTGTTTGAATGACAGCCTTCTGATTATGTACAGATTTCTCATGAGTACAATAAAGTGTTCTGGAATTCTCATTCTTCTCAATGTCATCTACAATTTGTTATGATCCACATAATCAAATGCCTTTGCATAGTCAATAAAACACAAGTAAACATCTTTCTGGTATTCTTTACTTTGAGCCACGATCCATCTGACATCAGCAATGATATCCCTCATTCCATGTTCTCTTCTGAATCCAACTAGCATTTCTAGAAGCTGTCTGTCAATATACTGCTGCAATCATTTTTGAATTATCTTCAGTAAGATTTTACTTGTGTGTGATATCAATATTATTTGATAAGTTCCACATTCTGTGGGATCACCTTTTTTTGGAATGGGTACAAATATGAATCTCTTTCAGTCAGTTAGCCAGGTGATTTGGTAATATCAGCACCTGCCTTTTTACTTGTCAACCTTGGGCTTGGCAGCCTCAGCAGCCAGCAGCTGTCTGAGTGAAGAAAAGCCTCTAGCTTCAGTGGACTGGAAGCTGGAGGCAGAGCTGAAGCCCAAGGCTGAGGGGCTTTTACCCAGCCCCTAGGGCTTGGCACTTTGAACTTGGACTTAAAGCCTCCAAACTGTAAGAGAATAAACCCCTGTTTGTTAAGGCCATCCCATTTGTGGTATATTCTTGTCAGAGTGGTACTAGGTAACCAGAATATACACCAACTATTTTCCTAACAATTAACTCCCAATATCCATTTTGAATAATACCACATGACCAATGTCTGTTTAAGGCTGGTTTTCCTCAACTACAAATAGGTCATTACTGTTCAAAGATCTTTTGATTTAGTTTCTTGCCCACCAAATCCCATATTACGTATTTTCTTTAAGTTTCAATTCCAAGCAGTTTACCCTCTCCATAGTCAAAATATAAACTCTATTCAAAGTTTGCTTTCTTTTTAAATTATATGATACAAGCTCCTTCAACTACCCTCCTCCTCTTTCCAAAATCTCTTCTGCTTGCTATCTAACATCTTATCCTTCCCAGTTTGTCACAGAAATTGAGTCCTTCTTTCCATTGTCAAATTCTCACTATTTGCTCACAAATCCATTTCTTCCAGATCTGTTTCCATCTTAGCCTTCTCTACTCACTGACTCTTCCCTCTGCCTTCAAGCACCTACAAGTTCTCTTTGTCTGTAATCTATCAATTAGCAATTTAACAGCACTTTTTTTATCATGTCGCTCCAAGTCCTTCCACCATTCTCTGAAGTCTATAGGTTTTCCTAATCTAAGTATCTTTTCAAGGCATTCATTGCCCTTCCTCGGCTGATCTCAACTGATTCCCGTACTACTTTCCAAAAGAAACTTTTTGCTTCTGCTAGACTGACTCACACTCCATAAATATTCTTCAATCACTATCTGCTCTGATTTTTGGCAATGCTGTACATTTCATTTTAAACTGCCTACTTTTATTTTCATTTGCCCAATGTCTCAGGTTCAGCTTAAATGCTCTCTAAAGTTTCCTTCACAGCCCTAGAGTATATTGAGTCTACCTTTTTCAGACTTGCTATAGCTTTTACAAACCAAGTCCTTGTTTAGCATTTAATTACAAAACCCTTCAATTTACATTTGCATTCATATTTATACCTACATCTTTTCCTTCAAACCAACTTAATCTACCAACCAACAAACTTTTATTAACCATTCACTTGTCAGTCACTCTGATGGATCAAGGAAATGTAAGAATGGATATTTCTTTGCTCAGAACTCTTAATGTAATATGTTTTTCAGATAATTTAAAGTATTTATTGAACAGATTGGTAAACCACCAATAGACATTCTATTAGTAGTGACCATTTTTCCGAAGATATACACCACACAGAAGATGATGAAAGAGCTGGAATAATTGAGTGCTATCAGTCTCAGCTGTCAATTATTTTGAGAATCAAACCACACCTGTGGTAGTTAAGGTTCTGTGTCCATTTAGCTGGGCCTTTCTTTGGTGGCTGAGCAGCTGGATGTAGTTATTCCCCATGATGACACTGGTAATCAGTTATATAGTGGAATCTACTGGAGCAGCTGAGTAGCTGCCCTAGGGATGTGGCATGCTTGGACTCTGCATGAAGCCAAGTCTTCATTTAGTAGCCTGGCATGTATCCTGCTAATCTTGGACTGGCTCTGGATTTGAACTAATGGCTTGCCATGTTGTTTGGTAATATTGGTGCTGTGTCATTTTATTTGTTGACCTTGGGCTTGTTAGCCTCAGAAGCTGGCAGCTGCCTGAGTGAACAGACATCTCTAGCTCCAGTGGGCTAGAAGCAAGAGGCAGAGTTGAAGCCCAAGGTCGAGGGGCTTTCACCTGTTTGTTAAAGCCATCCACCTGTGGTATTTCTGTTAGCGCAGCATGAAGTAACCAAAACAAACCACTAACTTAAAAATCATTTTATTTAATAAACACATTTCTGTTTTCTTCTATTGCCAGTACATCTGGCTAAACAGAATCTATAATGTGAAATCACAGTGCGCAAAATGTTATTAATAACTACCAATACCTGGAATATTACAATTCCAACAATGTGTCTCACAGAAAGAAATGTGGATATCAGAACTATACAAGCAGACAAAGAAAGAAACAATAGCCTGAAATATACACATACTTCTATATATGCTGGTTGTTATACTACCTAAACATATTAATACTATTGCATATAATTTTCAAACAGGTATCTTAAAACTATGTTCTACATACCTGTCCAGTCTCCTACTATTTTAAGATGGACCCCAAACGTTGCTTTGGTTTCAGTAGGGCACTAAAAGAAATAAACACTAGAATCAATTCTGAATAATAAATATGTATTACTAGACTATGATTCAATTATAACTACTTTTCTCATAGCTCTAAAATGCATAGAAATAGGAAGGAACAGACTGAAAATCTATACAGGCCTTCACTGGTGGAAAGAAAAGCTATGCCTATCAGTCACTAAGACAATTTACATTTCTCTAACAATCCATAGTATTTATACAAAACAATACTATGCATATAATCTAAAATTGTTAGCATATTATGCCTACTAACAAATCTTGCTAAAATGTGTTTTGGGTCAAAATATTTAAAAGAACAGAGCTTTTAATTAACCCAAAGTAAGAAATGGACACTAATGATTTTATTGTCTTTATGTATAATTAGACTTGTCACATCCTAACTAATTCCAGAGAAAAGAAAAAAAAAAAAAATTAAATGGAAACTTCATGTTCCATGTCCAGCAAATATGCTCCTGATTGAAATAGTTCTATTCATTCCTTCCTTTCAATTTTAGAAGAAATCTAGAGAGAACTGGTGAGGGTATTTAGGGATAGATGTGAATTGTGGAACTTGAAATAAGAAAAACTATCCGAGTGGTATGTGTTTCCATATTTAATAAATCTAAAAACAAATAAACACAAAGTCCCAGGTAGTCAAAATGTAAGAATAATTTTTAATCCACAACAAGGAAATATAGACGTCTTGTTGTTTTCCAGATTCCCAGTCCTTTATCAATACTTCCAAATGTCAAAAAAAAAATATGTAAAATGAAAGTTTTTTTCCTAATTAATTTGGTGACACTATCTGACCTAAATTAACAGGAAGCTAATTATGGAGACTAGTATTTCTGCATAAAAACTCATAGTTATTTTCTTTCTTTCATTTTTCTTTTTATTGTGTTTTAGGTGCAAATTTACAGAGCAGAGCTTTTTTTACCTTCAACAGTTCGTGTACATTTGGTTTCACTCCTCAATTACCATGCCCAACCCTAATCCACTCTCCTTCCCTCCCTTCCCAGTGAATCCCCCATCCATGTGCCCTTCTAAGTTATGCACTCCTGTCTGTCCACCTTTTCCTCCATGTGACTGTTGCCCCTCTGGTGCCCCATGGCCAATTGCTCCAAGGGATGTGTCTCTGTAGAGTAGGTGGGTGCATCACCCTGGGTTGAGTGTTCTGGATGTAAGTCTTATTTACTGTTGGGCTGAAAGCCAGCCCTTGAGAATGAGTTTTATTCCAGGCCCGATGTATATCCCAGCGCCATAGTCTTGGGGGTCCCACCAGACTCCATCCGACCAGTAATTGTGCATTTATTTCATATATTACTTAATACGCCCAGTAGGATGTGAGACACTGTTTATTCTTAAATAAACTGATATTTCAATTGAAAATAACTATGACTTTTTAGATTTTCATAGTTATTTTCAATTGAAATATCAGTTTGTTTAAGAATAAACAGTGTCTCACATCCTAGTGGGGATATTAAGTAATATCTGAAATAAACACACCTTTTAAAATCTGTAAAATTCTGAATTCTGGAACTAATTGAACCCAAGGGTTATGGATAAGTAGCCATCAGCCTGCAATTATCCAACATTTATCAAGTATCATGTGACAAGGACTATGCTAAATACTTTATTTCCAAGATCTCACAATAACCCTATAAAGTTGTCTCTTACAGATAAGAAGAGTAATTTAGATTTAAAAATATTAACTTGCCCAAGAACATGTAATTAGTTTAAAAAAAAAATCAGAATTTCAATCCAAGTCTGTCTGAGTCCTGAACTACTGCATGCCACTGTTTCTTCTAAGGCAGAACTCTGATGGCACAGTGCCTAAGGCATTTGACTGCTAACCAGAAGGCTGGCAGCTCAAACCCACCAGCCACTCCTCAGATGGAAGACTGGGCAATCTACTTCTGTAGTGATACTGCCTCGGAAACCAAAGGAGGGGTCATTATGAGTAGGATCTGACTCAATGGCAATGAGTTTGATTTTTGGTTATATGGAAAATGGGTGACGGTTGCATGAGAAATCAAATGGAGTAAGAGGAAAGAAGTTATGTGTTCAACGTGAGTATAATCAGTTTACAACAATATGAATCAAGGGGGAGGATAGATTTACAAAATAAAGAAAATTCTAGTGCTTTTGAGGGGCCCTTATTACAGACTGGGTTATATAAAGTAAGTCTAATATCCTGTGTTGGCTAACTATAGTAGATCACATAAGAACACTATGAGGAAAGGAAACAAGGGATGAGGAAGATGCAGATATGTTTGCAACCCATTGATAAAAGAAGAAAAGTAGTTTGGAAGTTAGGGAAAACACTAAATAAAAAGAAAGATACTATAATTAAAAAGCACATGATCTGATAGATGTTCACAACTGGAATTAATCTAATATGGAATTTCAAAACAATTACTCTACCCTTGTTGTTAGGTGCCATCAAGTCATCTCATAGTGACCTATGTATAACAGAATGAAACAATGCCTGGTTCTACACCATCTTTACAATATTTGCTATGCTTGAGCCCATGATTGCAGCCACTGTATTAATCCATCTTGTTTAGGGCATTCTCCTTTTTCGCTGACCCTCTACTTACCAAGCATATTTTACTCCAAGGACCAGCCCCTTCTGACAACATGACCAAAGTACATGAGACAAAGTATGGCCATTCTCACTTCTAAGGAGCATAGTGGCTCTACTTCTTCCAAGACAGATTTGTTCATTCTTCTGGTCTCAAACTCATTGCTGTTGAGATGATCCCAACTCATAGAGATCCCTCGTTGGGTTTCTAAGGTGGTATCTCTATGGAAGTAGATTGCCCAATCTTCCTCTGAGGAATGGCTGGTGGGTTTGAACTGCCAGTCTTCTGATTAGCAGTCAAATGCCTTAGGCACTACACCACCAGGGTATTTTCACTATTCTTTGCCAATACCATAATTCCTAATTCTTCTGCACTCTTCCTTATTCATTGTCCAGCTTTCAAATGCGTAAGAAACAAAACAAACATGCATATGAGGCAAATGAATATACTATGGCTTTGGCCAGCACAACTTATTCTTCAAACTGACATCTTTTCTCTAACACTTTAAAGGAACTTTTGTAGCAGATTTGTCCAGTGCAATACATTATCTGATTTCTAGACTTCTGCTTCCACAGGCACTGATTGTGGATCCAAGTAAAATGAAATCTCTGACAACTTCAATCTTTTTTCCATCTCTTGTGATATTGGTCCAGTTGTGAGGATTTTTTTTTTTTTTCATGTGGAGGTGTAATTCACACAAACGACTGCAGTCTTTGACCTTCATCAATAAATGTTTCAAGTCTTCTTTACTTTCAGCAAGCAAGATTGATTCATCTGCATATTGCAGTTTGTTAATGAGTCATCCTCCAGTCCTGATGCTGTGTTCTTCTTCATATAATCTGGCTTCTCTGATTATTTGCTTAGCTTACAGACTGAATAAGTATAGTGAAAGAATACAACCCTGATGAAGACCTTTCCTGATTTTATACCATGCAATATCCCATTGTTCTCTGCAAATGACTGCCTCTTGATCTATATACAACAGGTTCCTCATGAACATAATTAAGTGTTCTAGAATTCCCGTTCTTCGCAATGTTATCCATAATTTCATGATCCACACAGTTGAATGTCTTTGCATAGTTAGTAAAACACAGGTAAACATCTTACTGGTATTCTTTGCTTCCAGCCAAGATCCATCTGACATCAGCAATAATATCCCTCATTATTAGATGTCCTCTTCTGAAACTGATTTGAATTTCTGACAGTTGCCTGTCAATGCACTACTGCAACCATTTATGAATTATCTTCAGTAAAATTTCACTTGAGTGTGATATTAATGGTATGGTTCGATAATTTCCACATTCTATATGGTCACTTTTTCTTGCAATGGGCACAAATATGGATCTCTTGCAGTGGGTAGGCCAGGTAGCTTGGTGTAAACAAGTGAGTGCCTCCAGCACTGCATCCATTTGCTGAAATTTCTCAGTGGGTATACCATTAATTCCCGAAATTGTTTTTAACAATTCCTTCAGTGCAGCTTGGACTTCTTCCTTCAATACCATCAGTTCTTGAGCATATGCTAACTCCTGAAATGGCTGAACGTCAACCGATTTTTTTGGTTCAGTGACTCTGTATTCCTTACATCTGCTTTTGATGCTTCCTGCATCTTTCAGTGTTTTGCACATAGAATCCTTCAATGTTGCAACTCAAGGCTTGAATTTTTCCTTCAGTTCTTTTAGCTTTAGAAATGCTGAGCGTGTTCTTCCCTTTTGAAGACCCTTTTGGTCTTTGTACATTTCACTAGAAACTTTACTTTGTCTTCTTGAGCTGCCTTTGAAATTTTCTGTTCAGCTCTTTTATTTCATCCATTCACTTTAGCTATTCTCTATTCAAGAGCAAGTTTCAGAGTCTCTTTGGACATCCATTTTGGTCTTTTCTTCCTTTCCTGACTTTTTAATGACGCTTTGCTTCTTCATGTATGATGTTCTTCATATTATCCCACACCTTGTCTGGTCTTCAGTCATTGGTTTTCAGTGTGTCTAATCTACTCTGAAGATGGTCTCTCGATTCAGATGGGATATACTCAAGGTCGTATTTTGGCTCTTGTGGTCTTGTTTTAATTTTCTTCAGCTTCAGCTTCAACTTGCATGTGAGCAGTTAACGGTCTATTCCATATTCAGTTCCTGGCCTTATTGTGACTGATAATACTGAGCCTCTCCATCACCTCTTTCCATGGATGTAGTCGATTTGATTCCTGTGAATTCCATCTGGTGAGGTCCATGTGTATAGTCATTGTTTATGTTGTTGAAAAAGGTATATGCAAAGAATAAGTCATTGGCCTCACAAAATTGTATCATGCAATCTCCAGCATCGCTTCCTTCACCGAGGCCATATCTTCCAACTACCCATGCTTCTTCTGTTTTTCCAACTTTTGCATTCCAATTGCTAGTAATTAATACATCTTGATTACAAATTTGATC